GCGCGAAATTCAAAAAACAAACAACCTAATAGAATCTACAAAACAATTAATCTAAAAGTCAAATTAACTCTGAATTCGCCATTAACCAGCAACCAGACCAAAATTCCTAAAATATGGTGATAAATCTTCGCATTATCAGATCCAGCATTACTAAGTTTTTACTTTTTAATTGTTGTATCATTAAGGCTTGAGTTTAAAGAGTTCAAAATTAGCACAAAAACTGCAAGTGATTTGGATGCAACTCCCAAAACATTTGTCAAAGTTGTCCTCTTCTGATGAGGATTGATTGCTATTTTTGGTGTAAATTTAGCCAGAAACAATGTCTAAAAGTATCTGAATAAGAGCAGTAAGGCACGGACGACTGATTACCTTTACAGAATATTTTAGTAAAGGGAACAATGAATGAGATTCAAAGATAAGCTTCATTAACATCTAAATCAACATCTTCTTTGTAAAAGAAGGAAATTTCTTCTCTTAATTTTTGGTTTAATTTGTATTTTCTTTTAGAAACTCTGTTAACCCTGTATTCCTGAATGCGACCACCTCCACAACGACGGTATTGAAACATGAAACACGTTTTCGCTTGTAATACACAGAATACGACCGTTTTCTGGCGTTACCATAATGCCCTATGTATGTTGAATACTATTTAAAACAGGAATTAGCACAGAAAAATCGAATTTTTGCAAGAAAATTGAAAATATTGTACAAAGAAAGAATAATTGTTTAAGACATACAGATCCTAAAACACTCTAGTTCAGACTTTTTCATTTTGTCTCATTAAGTTTTATGGCGTTTATTTATATTTTGTGAATAGGAAAATCTATGATAGGCAGTGTACTTCCGTGGCCCTGCGGGTTCTACCTAGACAGAGCTTTCTTAGAGTTGCTTTCCTTTTGCCTTCTCGGTAAAATGTAAAGATTGGATTAAAATTTAGAATATTTTTATTTTATGTTTATAGGTTGTACATCTAAAAACAATACTGATGTGTTAAAACAATATCACTGGTTTGATACTGTTAACATTTTCATTATTTTTGTTTTCAGCTGACTCGTTATTTTTGGACGTGCAACAAGTATATATATACACACATATATATAAATGGTTGTAAAGACTGATAATTCAATGTACAATTATGTGTATGAAGGAGACTCTTTAGTAATGATCAAATTAATATCTAACATTTAAAAACTTTATACAGCAGTGTTTTCTTTATTCGACTATTTTTAGGTATTTTAAACAATTAGGTCAAAAATAGTATTGAACGTACGGGATAATTAAAAATATAAAGCAGTATTTGTAGAATGTTTCTAGGTCCTACTAAGCGAGGAGAATAAACTGTCTATCAGAAGTGACTTATATAGGAAAGCCTCACATGTGAAATGTAATTAGAACTTAGAAAATAGGAACAGCTCATGTACACAAATCTGAAAGTACTGTTCAGACTATGCAACCAGCTTTGTGCCGATAAATAACCTTAAGAACATAGAAAGGTATTGAATTAAAAACAGACAGCTAAAGTGATAAGAAAAACCAGTTTTGGGAGGGTAGTTTCTCTAAACAAAATGCAAAAGCAATACATTAAAAACAGACAACTGGGGTGATAAGTTTTTCTTATCAAACGAGAAAAGCTCTAAACAGACAACAGGCTACTACTACAACAGACCAATAACAAGGGACAAATACCGTTAATTGGTGTTGGGTAGTTTCCCCGAACAAAATAAAAAACATTTAAATGATAACTCTGGCTACTAAAACAGACCACTTAAGCGATTAGTAAAACTAGCTTGAGTAATGTAGTTTCCATTAACAAAACAAAAAATCACTCAATTAAAAATAGGTGATTAAAACAAACTTCTGAAGCGATAATTGGAACTAGTTTTGTGAGGGTAGTTTCTCTTAACAAAACCAAAAAAGCATAGATTGAAAACAGGCTATTAAAACAGACCACTGGGTTGGTAAGTAAAACCAGTATTGGGAGGGTAGTCTCTCTTAAGAAAAGACAAAACCATTACACATAAACACACACTCTAGTAAGTGAAGAATAATCCTAATTCTATTTTTCAGTCGTCTTGCTCTCTTGCTAGCAGACTGAATTCTTTAAACAACTTTGTTACATAATCCAAGTAAAGTAGACTCCAGTAATTACGACCAATTACTGTGGTCAAGTTACATCTGTGGGATTTTCTACTCTCAGCCTGTAAACTAAATCTGTGTATATTTATCCACGTTTACTTACTAAAGTTGCTTAAGTATGCATCTACAATGCTTTATATGATTGTTCAAGCATTTCCTGCTTATGTAAAGTGAAGCCTAACTGTCATTTCTTAAGTGTTTTGTGAAGACCTAGCAATAAAACTGTTTTTAAGGAGAAGGATCGATGCAGTTCGTTTAATTTTAATACATTCAAGTAAACCAAAAGTTCACTGATATAAGAAAAAAACAACAACAAAAGTTGGAAGGTATATGAAAACTGGTTCACTGATATAAGAAAAACAACAACAACAAAAGTTGGAAGGTATATGAAAAACTGGATCACTTATATAAGAAAAACAAAAGTTGGAAGGTATATGAAAACTGGTTCACTGATATAAGAAAAACAACAATAACAAAAGTTGGAAGGTGTATGAAAACTGGTTCACTGATACAAGAAAAACAACAACAACAAAAGTTGGAAGGTATATGAAAAACTGGATCACTTATATAAGAAAACAAAAGTTGGAAGGTATATGAAAACTGGTTCACTGATATAAGAAAAACAACAATAACAAAAGTTGGGAGGTATATGAAAACTGGTTCACTTATATAAGAAAAACAACAAAAACAAAAGTTGGAAGGTATATGAAAACTGGTTCACTGATATAAGAAAAACAACAATAACAAAAGTTGGAGGTATATGAAAACTGGTTCACTTATATAAGAAAAACAACAAAACAAAAGTTGGAAGGTATATGAAAACTGGTTCATTGATATAAGAAAAACAACAATAACAAAAGTTGGAGGTATATGAAAACTGATTTGAGCTTCCAATAGCCCAAAATGTTCACGAACCTTTTAAATCTAACTGAGGTATTATGTTTTCATTAATACATTCATGCATGATAACATATAATTCAAGGTTAGTAACAGTCGTTTACAATCTAGAAATAATCCTACACTTTTTTTTAATTAAGTACGCTGACATTTTTTCATGAACACTGAGATTTAGTTCGTGTTTACATCTTTTGATTATTAGATTTAGAAATATAAATTATTATAGTTTTTTTATTATCACTTTCTTTTCCGTAATAAAATGCTCTTAACTGTTGTGTATTAAATGTAATATAACAAACTTGAGGACCACTCCAACGAATTGTGTAATAGAAGAGAAATAAGAATTACGCATTTAACTTTATTCAAAGAGTTTTAGTAAAACGTTTATTTTTTATTTTGAACTAAACTTTATATGAAGCTATTAAGTAATCTTTTACATATTTTCAGTTTGAGCGAAACTTTATCAAAGTGTTTTAGTATAGCTTTTACTTTCTTGAGTTTGATCTCAACTCTATACGAAGTGGTTTAGTAAAACTTTTATTTTTTGAGTTTAACATTCATTCAAAGTATTTTTATGAATCTTTTCTTTTGGAGTGAAGTTTATACCAGGTGATTTATTGAGACTGTTACAACTGTGTCACTCCTTAGATAAGCCTACGTATTCTAACATTAAGTTATATGTTTACCATATATTACATCCACTAACTTCTATTTACTCAACTGATGATCTTATATTAATTTTTCTTCAACAGATTGAAGCTCATCTGGTCAAATTTGATCACGACAAAAAAGTTGCTCGACTCAGTCTACGAGCTCTGCAAGTATTGAAATGTATGGAGGAAAAATACAAAAGGTATCCGTCTCTCTATCTGTCTAAATAAATAATCATGTATATGTAAATATTAATTTATATTTTCTGGTCATATAAATGATTTATCTCATGCTACGATATGTATTTTAGAACGAAATAACAAGGAGCTAGTTTCCAATTAGTTGACTACGCTACTTTGAAGATGACTGAAGGCACCATGTTTAATTTAAAATAAGAGCTGGTATGATTGCATTCGCCTGATAACATTCCTACTGTCAGACAACCGAGTAGTCATATGAGTTAGAACCACTTATAGTCACTGTAATGATTCCTCCTGAAGTACGTGGATCTCATTAATAAGGAAATGTGCGAAGATGAAAACTATAGCTGAATAATGCCTGGACTAATTATTTGCCAATATTTTTGTGATTCTAAAATCATTCTTTACAAACGTAGAACCAGATAAAAAAGGCGTCCAGAACGTTTAAAGAACATTAAGAAGTGGCTCTTAGAAGCTAAAGAGTATAATAAAAAAGAAGAATTTCACTTGCGGCGAAGAAGACCATTATTCGAGTCTGGATCTACGTTTTAAGACGTACGTATAACGTGGACAATTTACAAGGCTGTTTCACGCCATCTTTATGTTAATTAGTCACGCCGTCTCGATCTGCTAAACAGGTTTTTATTAGAAGCCTTCATCTGAGATAGAAATTAAAAGCGTTGTCCCCAGAAAGTTCAAAGGTTATATTGTTATTGAACTCAGAAGTCGACTCTAGTAGTTAATATTAACTTCCGATCAGAGCAGGCTACCTACTTAGTGCGAAACTAATATTCAACCTAATATCGCTAATGACTATAGTTATTTAAATATGTTTTTCTTAAATCTTTATTAGTAAAGATTGGAGTGCATTGTTACATCATTTGGGGAACTTCTCTCTCTTAACAATATTTCCGGTCGTAATTCCAAGAATATATCAGGAGAATCGTTCAGTTTAGGAGGCTTAGATTAATTCGAAATCCATATACTAAGCTGACAATGCAGAACAGTCCTTAAGATAAAATTATAAATATAGACTTAAGTTAGAAATAATAAAATAGTCGAACGTTTGATTCAAAATACAAACTATCAATACGGAGACATTCTGTGTCCTTTTGTTATTCATCAACTCAGACAAGTATATAATCCTGAAACCAAAAACGACTCGTAGCCTACACGTATATATATAAAAACTTCATGTAAATATAAATATAAAAATAAAATTGCACATACATGTGTATATATTTATGTGATATTTAAAATATACCCAGAAGAAAGGAATTAGTCTCAATTTGTAGCACACTGATATCATTTTATATTTTACTTGTCAAGTAAACTATATTTCGATTTCGTCAGTAAAGAATAAAGATCTATTTCAAGTGTAAATGAAATATTTATATGTTGAACGTGCAATGCTGTATCAAGAAATGAGTTCTTAAGATAAGCATCACAAACAGTAAGAAGAAAATCGTGGTTTTTCGAGGAATCCGGACGTAGATAAGGAACTTTCACTTCACAAGAAATGTTTCTTAACCCCTTTAACTATCGACTCCACGTCTTCTTTTTCGTCCTTATGAAGGTTACAAAGATCGTTTCTTGGCTAACTTAAACTTGAAATTTACGTCTCCTAGTGCATGAACTTCGATTGAAAAACATGTGTAAGATGCCCTACTTAAAGAGTGAAGTAGGGTTTTGTTCTTCTGTCAGCAGGATTGCGTCGTTACAAGCTAACATTTTCCCAGTCTCACGTGTCACGTGGATATGGAAACCATTTTTTTTACCATTCCTAGTTTGCTCCTGAAGAAGAAAGGTCCATCTTTCGAAAGCGTTCGGGTTATAGGGTTTTTATCTGTTGTAGTTTAATGATTTAAGCTAACCGTGAAGGTTGTTAGAAGAACAAAACATCCAGTTTTAATTATTGTGCTAATTTGCAAATTTTATATTTTTCCTTCGAAAAATCAGTGTGTTGCTAAATTTCTTTTCCGTTTTCAAAACTTTCACTAGCGAATCAGCAGGTGAATGGAGTGAGGAGGCTGCCGAGTCCATGGTAGAAAGCTCTCCCAGAGGTCCGTTCGATGACGTCCTGAAATCTTGTCTTCTGGTAGAAGAAAATATGCAAGCCAGGTAAGAAAATAAATGCAGTAAAAATATAACGCGTTTTTAAATATATATCATTATATTAAAAACAATAAAGCTTTAGATCAATCCCAGTGTGGTACTTGTACAGCTTCTTTATGGTTTACTATTTTCTGATATGTTTTACGGTAACTATCTTTATAAAGATTCCTAGACGTTCACTGAGCCATACATATTGTAACCTTCATTTTCTAATCCCTAGACGTTCACTGAGTTATACATATTGTAACCTTCATTTTCTAATCCCTAGACGTTCACTGAGCCATACATATTGTAACCTTCATTTTCTAATCCCTAGACATTCACTGAGCTATACATATTGTAACCTTCATTTTCTAATCCCCAGACGTTCACTGAGCCACACATATTGTAACCTTCATTTTCTAATCCCCAGACGTTCACTGAGTCATACATATTGTAACCTTCATTTTCTAATCCCCAGACGTTCACTGAGCCATACATATTGTAACCTTCATTTTCTAATCCCCAGACGTTCACTGAGCCATACATATTGTAACCTTCATTTTCTAATCCCCAGACGTTCACTGAGTCATACATATTGTAACCTTCATTTTCTAATCCCCAGACGTTCACTGAGCCATACATATTGTAACCTTCATTTTCTAATCCCCAGACGTTCACTGAGCCATACATATTGTAACCTTCATTTTCTAATCTCTTTATCTTTCATCCTTCCCTTCTTAGCATGAAACTCCTCGATATTTTTCTACTGTTTGACTTTGATGAAAAAAAAAAGTATACTAGTGTTTTATTATTACATCTATATAGAATGTAGGTACTGAACAACACAAAACAACAGTAAACTTTCCTGAGTAGTTATTCGTCAGAGTACGCACTTATGTTATCCGCTAGAGGGTAACCTTTCGTTATCCGTCAGAGTACTCCCTCATGCTACCCACTAGTGTGCCCCTGTTTTATCTGCTAGAGTGTGCCCTTGTATTATACGTCACGGTACGCCCTTACGTTATCTGCTAGTGTGCCCTTGTGTTATCCGTCAGACTATCCCCTTATTGTATTATCAGAAAGTGCCCATGGTATCTTCTATTTTTTCTTCTTTAAATATCTTATTGTGGTTGTGTTACAATCCGTTGGTGTGGATGATTTACTGAAAAACATAATTGTATTTGTATATTTTAGATCACTTCATATGAGCACAACTAAAACTAAATTATGTCTAACACGCACACGCATTTACATTTATATGATAAACTTACATGTTGGAACAAAAGTTACTATACGGCTGGTACGAAATGGTTGGTATAATTGGTATTTATGGTTAGTACTAAAGAAAATATTACGAAGACAATGAAACCAGCTTAACTGCTGTTTATTTCAGTGTAACACGTTAAAAATTAAAGTATGTTCGAAATAAAACGACTGTAAAATCACGTTTGACTCGCCCTGTATACGTGTCTTATATTTGTAAAAATCGCATTATTAGTAATAACTAACGGAAACGCCGACCTACAGACGACTCTTTGTGCTAGTAATTACCATACTTAATTGGAAAAAAAACTAGGAAATGTGAACATTTTCTAAAAAAAGGATTTTTTTCTGGGAAGTACTGCACACGAAAAGTGTTCGGATTGTGCTCTTTAGTCATACGCAACTCATTGCACCAAAATGGTTCCATGTACAGAGGTGAAAATTTTCATAAATTTTACTGACATAAACTGTAGTGTTTTATACATTAAAAGTGGTACCGTTTATTAAAAAATTAATAGTTTTTTAAGAACTCCAGTTTCTCAGTACCACATTTAAAATTTACATCAATAAAGACATAATCAAACTCTCACATACAGTCCTAGTGAAAGTCGTGTTATTATTGTGAGAAAGTACTTTTTGTTTAAAATTGTTATTTTATAAAGGTATGGTTGTTACACATACCACAGTTATTTTTCTAATTTTCTGAATCTTGAATACCTAAAATGTGAAATTGTTTATGGATTTTTGTTTGTGGAGTCATTCAATAGATGGCGCAGGTGTTTTGGTTACATACATAGATGTTGACAGACACGCTACTTCCATTATAGTAAACTTATTCAAGTCGTTTTAGGAGGCAATCAATGATACGTATTAACTGTCGGAAAATTACAACACTCGCATTGTGTGGTTATCCACTATTAATATAATTTATTCAGTTTGTGATGTTTATAACATGGTACCAGAGCACTTTGCTTGTTCTATCTGTGGTATACTCATCACTGATATTAAAACCCGGTTTGTAGCACTATGAGCTTTCAGACCTATCTCTGAGCCACTAGGGGGCAATGCTCTATTCTTTGGTTGTTGTTAAGCCCAAAGCAACACAATGGGTTATCTTTGGTGCAACCACCACTGGAATCGAAACCTACTATTTGGTTTTATAAGCCTGCTGACTTACCGTTGAACCACTGGGGCAACGCGTTATTTATTTTCATTTATAATGCGTTTATTTTTATTTGGTATAGTCTTACACCGATTCCCTTTAACGGTAAGCATCGCTAATACCTGTTTTATCACATGTGTATTTTTTCTTTTTTTCTGATCGCCAATAACATTCTAGTGGTTCGAAGCGTCATTACATGTTACAATATTACGAATCAAACACAGCAATACAATAGCGTACTTTCCGAATGTATCTAATATTATTTTATATTTCTGCAGAAGAAAGGAAGTTCTCGGTGTATTGAATTCGAATGAAACGTGCCTAACCATTTCTGCTTTTCCTCGGTAAGTTAAGATGTTTTTCAAATCAGATAATAAGTGCACAAAGAAGTACACACACACACACACACACACATATATATATATATTGTCATTTCTTTATAATCTATCTTAAATGTACACAATTATAGTTCACATTCAAAGACTTCTTTGTTTCTTTTATGCTGCGTCATAAGTGTTTGTAAAAATAATTATATTCAAAAGTTTCATTTCTTTGATTACCTTAATTCGCGACACATATTCGTATATATATGAAAATAAAAAATACATAATTTGCCAATTCAAAATTATTTGTATTATATGCATTTTATGTGTACAACTATTCTCGTTATTTAACATAGCTGTATTAATCTTTACTTACCTGAAGTACATACATATAATTTCAGTTTCGGACAAAAAGATTTTACTGAACCTGTTTTCAAGCCAACTCCAGAAACAGGAATTCTTAAGTCTCTGTTCGTGCCTGATGAAGTTATGTGCGCCGAAAATCCGCTGTACAGGTATGTATAAGGAACTAAAAAGTTCTAATTTTTCAGTTAAATACACCATGACAAATGAAATGTTTTACATCAACTGAATTGAATAAATTTTGTTACTCAAATATCGATCCGCTTTACAAAAAATATTTTATAATTTGTTAATATTTTTGCACCTTCTTTAAGCGCATATCATAAATGAAGAGACATTCTTATTCATTCACACTTGTACCTGTAAGGCTGCATTCTATAGATAATATTAATGTAAAATACTAAACACGGGTAATACACGGATACATATTTCAGTATATGACATACAGTAGTTACTTAACTAACCATACACTGTAAAGTATGGGTTTTTACATCAACAGATTAATAGTTGTTTTTGCTGTTTATTCAAAGTTGTTTTAGTTCAAATCTACATAAAGGGTTATCTACGTGTAGACGTCCGTAATTTTGAACTGATAGATTAGATCGAAGATATCTGATCAAGAACACCCGCTGCTAACTCTTGGGCTATTCTTGTCTGATCAAGTAGTCGCTCTTATGATGGAACCACGTTCCCAAAGTGCGGAGCGCGTTTTATTTTTTTTTTTTTTGCGGCGACGGATTATGAATTATGAATTATCGGATTTATAAGCTGAGCACGATAAACAATAGGCCACGCCCAGCTAATTCCAACTTTGTTCACTAATTTTTTCATGTTCTTTACACTTTACGGCACTTCATAGTAAATATTACTGTTCAACTTGTAAATTCTTCAACTGTATTAGCATCATATGGCTCTTCATAGGATCTCTCTCTCTCTTTACTCGCCACTAGGTATTTCATTTCAAAATAGAAAAGTATCTGGAAAGGAAACGATTTAGTCAAAAATTTGAAAAGATTTTGTTTAAATTTTTGCCCCTCCCCATTCCACAGTGGCTCAACGGTAAGTCTGAAGGCTTAAGACGCTAAAAACCGGGTTTTTTATACCCGTTGTTGGCACATCACAGATAGTCTATTGTGTAGCTTTGCGCTTAGTAATGAAACAATTAACATTTTTGTGTTTAAGGGCATTATATTTGATTGTTGTTGTTTGTAGTTATGCACAAAGCTACACAATGGGCTATCTGTGCTCTGCCCACCACGGGTATCGAAACCCGGTTCCTAGAGTTGTGAGTCTGCAGACACACCGCTGTGCCACTGGGGGCCATTATATTTGAAGACTCATATTTTCAATTTATGTTTTCCTCAACCCTTTCACTTGACTTTCACTATACTTGACTCATTATTTTCCTTATTTATGTATTCAATAATTGTCGAACCTTCTGCTCCTAGATGTAATGTTTCAGAAAAAACCCCTAACCTAACCCCCGAAGTTACAATGGTAACCGGGTTTTTAAAATTATGATTCATCTACTCTTTAGATTCTTACTGTTTTCTATGTGTTGTAAACGTAGTGCAAGGACTTATTCGAGGGTTCTTGTACGTCACAACTTACCATTCTCTATGTCTACTCTATATATTTTAACTCTAATGTACTGCTTAATTATACTTTACGGTATGTTTGCGAAAAGCACACTTTGGAAAGTTTATTCACAATTAATAGTATTGTTTTATTATAGGTCAATGACTGCCAATGGCGAAGAAAGAAGAGGCCAACGTGCTTTCATTAACGTCCCGAGTAAGTAACAATACAATATCAATCAGATAGTCTCGACATCTTACTTATTTTCTAACTCATTAATGATTCCTTTCACGCTTTGATCAACTTCAAAATCTAACAAGTTACATAATTTAAACTTCTGTAATCAGAATAACATTCACTGGCCTCGAAAAAGAGGAATGGTCTAGAAGAACAGATTCCAGCACCAATTTTTCTTAACCCTAATAAATTTCGATAGGCTCACATTTCCTCAACTCATGTTTTGTATGTTTTGTTGCCCGTTTGTATAGAAAACTTGCCGATCTATGACTTCACGCCATTTCTTCAAGAGTATGGCCAGGTGGTTAGGGCACTCGACTCGCAATCTGAGAGTTGCGGGTTCGAATCCCTGTCACACCGAAACATGCTCACCCGGTATCTGAACTAGGACGTTAGTCCTACTCCCTGATGCTCACCTCCAACAGAATTTGGAGGTGTGAAAAACACCATACGAAACTACTACTCTTCAAGAGTTACTGGTTTTTTTTTACTATTATTATGTAATTTTTTTAATTTTCTCCAAAAAGGGGGCCAACGGCCTTCTGAAGGGGTAACCAGTTTTAACCACGCGCACTACTATACAGTAGTGTATTATCTGTCAATCAGTCAGTAGGCACTAAAATGACAGTGAAGTCAGTAAAAGGTGCACATGCCATGAATCATGAGAAGAATTTGCACTCCGTAGGCTACAACACAACATGACATATAAACTTAAAAAGCTAGAAATATAAATAGTTGTTACTCTTAATTTTGGTTATATTTACCCTTGAAACAGAATACTTTCGGAGATTCTGCGGATGTACATCTAGTATAAGCGTATTTTTTTGCGAAGTGTACGATCTATCATTGATTACAGCACAAAATCTGAAGAAACACTTTACTTTCTTTCCACTGTTAAAAACAAACAAACTAAACTTCTATAACAAATATATAACACTATGTCAACTTGATTAATAGCAGTAATTATAATAAAATATAAACAAAGACATTGATTTTTCTCTCTCCTGTGTTAAAAAAACTAAACTTATGTAACACTATATAATCTTAGATGTCAACTCGAGCTGTAACAGTGATTAGAATACAAAACATATAGAAAGACACTGTTTTTGTTTTTTTTCTCTCACGAAATTAAACTTCTGTAATAATTCTGATTTTTTTGTTAAACAAAACATTCCTACAGTTTTTCAGGATACGAACACGCCAAAACCTTTCCTCGAGAACCTACGCGAGCTTGGCGATGACGGCCAATCAGAAGAAGCCGCTTTACCAGACCACGTCTATGCCGACAACAGCATGTTTGGACTAAGTTTCTGTGCTCTTCAAGTTACAGTACAAGCTCCAAGCTTGCAAGATGCCAAGTTTTTATACGATCAACTCGCTGTTCTAAGCCCCATAATGGTAGGTGTTACAAGTGAGAGTTAATCACGTAGTCCCTGAATGATGTTTTGCCTTTTCATACGAACGTACAAATACAAATGATTGAAGTGATGTTCATTCTAAACACACCTAACACCCTCCAGTGACACAGCGGTATGTCTGCGGACTTACAACTCTAGAAACCGGGTTTTGATATCCGTCGTGGGCAGAGCACAGATAACCCATTGTGTAGCTTTGTGATTAAATTTAAACAAACAAACAAGTGAGATCGCTGACCTCCAGTGACACAGCGGTATGTCTGCGGACTTAAAACTCTAGAAACCGGGTTTTGATATCCGTCGTGGGCTTTGTGATTAAATTTAAACAAACAAACAAGTGAGATCGATTGCGCATAAGTATTTGGATATCAATGATATTTAATAATATCTCATTATGTTTTGCAACATCTGCAGTGATAAACAGCTTAAAACTCGAGTTCTGATATTTAAATAGCTTCGAAACACACTTTTCTAGACCCACGTTAAACTATGTTAAACTAATTAAAAACGCAATTATAGATATATTATATGTTTCATTATAATTTTTGCCACTCACGTGCAATCTTAACAACTAGCGTGTGTTTTGGTTTTACTAAAAATTATCACCACATGTAACTTTTTTTTTCTTTTAAATTTTTATAAACGTCTTATGTTTGGTCAATTATTATTTTTTCTTACTGTGAATATATTGCCTTTAGATGGCGCTTACAGCAGCAGTACCAATTTTGCGAGGGTATCTTACGGATAGAGACTGTAGATTTCAGACGTTGTCAGATGCTGTGGATGCAAGAACGAAAATGGAACGAGAAAAGGTTGGTTATTAAGATCTAATTAACTCTTATGTAACTGTGCCTTCCACCACTTGATGCATTTGTATATTTCATAACTTAGAAAATGGTGAAAAAAATACTTCGAAAATGAGAGGTAAAAATAATTAGTACTTTGCAATGGTTACAAATAATTTGAGTCTTTTGTCACGGTTCATAATACACGTAAGAAGTGAATGTGAAACTTTTTTCATTCACATGATTCATATATTACATTTGTGATATTTATAATATTAACTCTGTTTTCTTATGAAATATTCTTTATGGTATGCTTTTACCATAAACTACGTCTTTCACTAGTTTTAGTTTAGCAGTTATTTCTAAGTTTTATTATTGTCCTATTGTTCTGGTTTTAACCACAAAGACCGTTTTTGATCTCGTGCAAACATGGCTTCAGTATTTGTCACCTCTATATCTGTTGAAAGTCTTTATTGTCACTGATTCATCATTGGCGTCTTGTTTCTACTGACCACCGAGCTGATCTTTTGAGGCTACTATCCAGCCAGATATAACTGTCACAAATCAAGGTCACTTGAATCTGATGGACTGAAATATCAAACGTTGTACCTCTCTCCTTGGAATTTTGAAATATGTTCTCACCTGGGCTTCAATGGACCACTACAGACTGTAAAGTCGTATACATTTTTCATTCTGTCTCTGTGTTCTAGATCCAACATACTAAAGTATATGTTGATTGTAATTTATTTTCAGATACATTTGTTCTTTGTTCATTTTTTTTAGTTTTAAGTGTTATTTTTTGTTGGATATCCATATCGTCGTCTTCAGATTTTTACTTGTTCGATTTAAGGAGATTAATAAAGATGAGTTTTGTTCAGTGGAAACCCACCCGATTTGTGTCCGTTTTTCATTACTTCAGTTATCACTCTAAAGATCTGTCGAATCTTCGGTCATCCTGTAGACTAAAATTATAAAAACAAGTCACGTGTCTCTTATAGAAGGAAAAATATCGCATCTTGAAATACAGAATTTTGTAGAATGTTTTTTATTGTTTTTATGGGTCTGTAATAATCAGATAAAAGACTTCAAGGGAAATGACTTGCGCGTGATTTTTTAAAAGTAAATTCAAAATACCAAACAGATTTTTGTATTATTATAAATAAATAAGCTTATAAATAAAATCAGTGGCAGAGTTAAGGTTTTGTGTTTCAGTGTTGACATAAAATACACTAGAAGAACAAGCTATCCTACAGTGTTGACATAAAATACACTAGAAGAACAAGCTATCCTACAGTGTTGACATAAAATACACTAGAAGAACAAGCTATCCTACAGTGTTGACATAAAATACACTAGAAGAACAAGCTATCCTACAGTGTTGAAAAATTAGTTTTAAAGTTTCTCAAATCAATTTTAATTCTAATGGAGATCTGTACAGAGCATAACATTCCGTATGAATTCCTTATTTTGCTTGAGTTAAGTTATTGTTTTCTTAGAGGTGTATTATAAACCATTATTTGAATAAACAGTGAATATAATGATAATGATTACATTATATTAACATAAAAGTAGGAAACGTTTAGAAGTCGTTGAAACGAAATGTATTCGGTTAAGTTAAACTTCATCTAAATAACAATTGCAACTCAGGCTGTAGCCATTAATAAAACATGATAAAGTTCGCTGGGTAAGGAGTGATAATATTCCCATTTTACGAATATTAAAGTCACAGTTATAAAAATGCTTCGGTATCACATCTTGAAAGAACTGTCATAAATCTTTATACTGCCATCAGTAAGTTCAGTGGAAACGACGAGAAATACGAAGCTTTCAAGGTGTAAACAAATAAAATGGTTGGCTTCAATAGCCTCAACACCAGGAGTCTCTGACAAAACATTTTTAAAGCTCATTTTCAGTAATATCAAGATCTTTTAATTTTTATTGATTACAAATTTTATATCAGTAAAGGTAAACATTTATCTGACAATACTTGTAAAAGGTTTTACTACTTTACATTCAAGCATTTAATTTTCCACCTTTTAATTTACATATTTTTTTCATCAGGTTGACTATGTACCCATTAAGATTAATTGTAGGTCACAGCTTGCTAAGTTTTAATTACAAAATACCGAAAGTGAACAGGTGAGTTTTATTTATCCATTGTGAGATATTGGATTAGGTTACCGCTATATGTACCTAGTGATGTATACAAGAGTATGGCTGGAGGGGCTCAAGCCCCTAACTTCCTACCCTTATGTCCCAAAACTCCTCTTACTTTTTTCTCTGTCATAAAAAATCCACAACTCGCTGCAAGTTATTAGGAAGGGATAAAATGGATTCCAGCTTTAAAATAAATGGAACATAGGGTCTTGAAGGATTTTACAGTAAAAACTCATAACAATGCTTGTAATATACTATTAAGTATTAACAAGTATGATAAAAAAATTATGAAGACAAGTAGGGATCGATATGTACGTAACCTAATTAGCTATAGTAATATAGAAAGTTTAAGTACTACAAAAAAGTATTGAAACAAGAAAGTCAAAACTACAAAAACTGATTTACTTAAAATAAAAATGAAAATATCCCTACTTTGGCAAATAAACTTTGCAAAGTACAAAACACCACTCTGAAATTCAACGTAATTTAAAGCTTTAATTTCAAAATAAAACCCTTTTATACTCGTCAAAATAAATCATTCATTTAGAGTTCATTAAGACAGAGAATAGACCATTTAATGAAGATCAATTTTTATTTTGAAGAGTTTTGATTTGAATATAAAACATTAAAGAATAAATGGTTTAAAATAAACCCTTCTGGTCCGTAGATCTGAAGGGAAAGAAAACCGTAGGCAACAATTAGGTTTAGATACACGTGTTAACCTTTATCTGCGGATACACCCTTCGAATGACATTTTTCAACTGAATCTTAATGATTAAAAAATATGTATTTACCCATGTAGCGTAGACTGATGACAATAGGATGTTTTGGCACTTCAATTATATCTAAAATGTTAATACTTCGTTTATTAAAATAATTACGAAGTGTTCTATCAATTACAAAAATTGGAAAATCGTTTTTACATAAGAATTCCTTGATGTTATTAAATTCTTTATGCAAGACCTCATATTTAAGTTAGCGATATAATGGTTAGGATTATTAGATCAGTAGATAATCTGTGGGTGTTTTGTGGTGTGGCTCAATTAGTTAGAGTAAGGTTTGTCAGTTTCTTTAAGAAGTTAAATAGGATAGCTGTACTTATGATGTGTTACTGTGTTAAATGACTTAGATAATCAGTCTTTTTTAGTTCTGTTGAATACATATTTTGGTTAGTAACGTGTGTTAGTTTGTTTCCTGTTTAGGACAGACTGATAAATGTTTACTCTTTTACATTAATTAGGAGCGCTAGGATTATATATATTCATTTTATTTTATCGACTATTTTCTTTTCATTTGATTACAAGATGCTTTGTAATTTTAAATTTGTGTTCATTCGTTGTTTTTTTGTTTTTTTTTCCTTTATGGTGTGTTTACACTGGTCCGAAAGATAATTTATGACGAGTCACTGGTTTATTTCCTTGAGAATTACATTGGTGTAATTATTACGCTTATTACTATCATGATTATTTTTATGGCTCATGTGAATTAGGGTATTACGTTTTATGTTTCAAAGGACGAGTTATGTGTATCCCCGAGAATGATGTGTAGTGAAGGCAGTGCTGTCAATTTGCTGTCAGGTCCTGGTTGTGTTTATTGATAATGGTCTGCCAGACTCGGGGGAGGGGGGCATTTAGGTATTGGCATTTATCTTTTATCAGTGTGAAATCACATAGTTCATCCTTTGGTATAATTTTACTTCTGCGCCCATAGGTTGAAGTATAGATTAGAATCTCAGGCGTGTTTCAGTACGATATCGATCATGGTTTTCTATTCTGATTTTTCAAGACACCAACTGGAGATTTGGGGCACTTTCAAGTAGAATCGGGACATGGGCCCCGTGTGCCAGTGCCCAGCAACGTATCTGCTTGTGTATGAATATAAATGTTTGAAAGTTATTTATAACCTGAATCCACTGATAAAGTCGGACAAGAAATTGCAGTTTAACAGCTGTTACATGAAAGTTTGAGGAATGAAAGAAAGTTAGTGTTTATTGTGCTTTGTATTGCCATGACAATTACATGAGAGGAAGCACTATTTGTTAAAATCTACCTCTTCATGCAGGATCAGCCAGTATGATGGGCTACATTGAATTGTTGCCATGCAAGGTCACGTAAAATGATCACTTATTTTGGATTCTATGTCTAGAAAACTGAATGTCACAGAAAAAGATTGTGTATGAAAGTTGCTCTATGTCTACATCTTTAGTTAGCCACTGTGTGTACTGCTTTCTGTACTTTAGAAACAACTATACTCTATATTGTCTCTAACTTCTGTTTTACTATCTCAACTTAAATGTACAGAATCCTCAGGTTTGTATTTATATTTATCGTGTTCTTTTTTTTGCTTAATTTGTTCTATTTAAGTACTCAAAAAATAGGTAGCTTAGTAATTTTTACTTGTATTCTGGTTATGAAATGTATTATATATTTTTTTTATTTCTTAAACAGTTTTGTATTAAAAACGACTAAAACTTGTCTGTTTTAGAACATCTTTGATTTACGTGAGTCAACATAAACAAATTATGTCAAAGATTATATTTTTTCAGCCTGAAGAATTAGATTATGCCATTATTCCGTGTTCTCGGTGGGAACCTGTAAGTTTCTACCTTACATCTGACGATTCCAAACTAAATGACGTTCCTGTCGTTTATGATCAAAACTATTTTGACAAATTAGAAAAATCAGGTAAGAATAAACAAATGTTTATTAAATTATAAAATCTGTCAATTTTAGTTTTTACATATACATATATAAGTATGAATGCACGCCACCTTAAACTCTTAGATTTAAATCAACGTCTAATTAGATCATATTGTTTAAGAAAATGTTACTTTTGTTTTATATTGGTATTAGTTCGTAATAAACATATGTTAATTTATTTCCTTATCAGTATATCTTATTATTCTATTTATTTAAAATGAATTTCCCTTTCTTAAAAAGTTAGCAAGTTGTTTATTGTTTTATTTCTTAAACTCACTTAAATTTACTGCCTCCAAAACATCTGAAGGCAACCCATTCCAGAGGCCAACTACCCTGTTAGAAAAATAAAACTGTCTTAGCTGAAGATGTCTCCTACCTTGCCAAAATTTATATTTGTATCCCCTATGTTATATTAGGAGCCAAAGACTGAACGAAATACTTCAAATGTGGCCTAACCAATGACCAATACAACCTAAAATTAAATTTGCCTTATCACTAGAAACAGCACACTGCTTGGATGGCTTAAGACACTGATCAACATTATGCCAAGATCCCTTTCTTTCATGACATTATTAAGGTTATTCCCATCAAATTTATTCTTATAATTCAAATTATGATAACCCAGATGCATTATCTTCCATTTATTATAATTAAAACCGATCTGCTATATATTTGCCCAACTCATTAAATGACCTAAATCCTTTTGTGAAGCAGTAGCATCCTCTTCACAGCTAGCAACACCCAAGACCTTAATATTATCTGCACATTTAAGTAATTTATTGACCATTCCTTCATATATGTCATTGTTTTAAATAAAAAAAGAGCAATGGTCCTAAGGTTGAGCCCTGAAATATCCCACATGTGACATTAATCCAGTTTGACTGAACTCCATTTATAACAACCCTTTGCTTTCTTCCATCCAGCCACTCTTTTATCCAATTAGCTAACTTATCAAGCCTTTTATGTGGTATTTTATTATATGCTTTTTGAAAATTCAGATACACCAAATCTACACCCTTACCCTCATCTACATAAGTCAAGCAAGCTTAAATACAAATAATTGGTCATTAAGTATATCTTATATATATACTTATTTATTTGTGGAGAGCAATCGGACAACGAGAGCTGTCTAATTACGATAAACTATTGCGAATTGCTACAAATGTCCCAGTGCCCTTAGCAGGATGTGGAAACACTTTTAAAACCATGTTTTAGCTCTCGCACATCTTAAAAAGGCAAGCCATCAGTAACAACACTGACAACCGCTACCTGTCGATACTGGCTCACTGCAATTATAAGGTACCCCTCCGAGTCTGAATCAGATGTTCACAGCCGGAACTGGATGTCATGTCCGTGTACAGATGATTATTGTAAGGTACCCCTCTGAGTCTGAATCAGATGTTCACAGCTGGAACTGGATGTCATTCCAGTGTACACATGAATTTGTAAGGTACCCCTCCGAGTCTGAATCAGATGTTCACAGCCAGAACTGGATGTCATGACAGTGTACAGATGATTATTAAAAGAATTTACAAAACCAATTTATATACCGAACTCTAAGCGAAGTGCATGACAAGGCACAAGACATTTCGTTTGCAGCTTATCTTTTTACAGATGATTCATGCATCACACAGCAAACAGACAGTCGGTATACATTTATTGGGTGAGAAAATGGAATCACATTTAATCTCTTTTCTTACAAGTCCGGGAGTCATATGGAGATAGTGGAAGTAAGGTATAAGCAGGAATAAGCACTGATAAACATACAGCTCTTTGTATCTTGTGGTCTGCATCATTAATGCTGCACATAATAGAAAGCACATCCTATAATCCTTTGTGCTGTTATATGCTGGTGAAATTGGCCCTGAATTTGGCTAAAAAGGATGATTATACTCATTTCCACTGTTATGAACTGGTCGACCTATTCCTTGAAGAAGACAGAATTGAATGGAGTTGCTTTTGTCTACACATTCACCACATTGCAATCAACCCTTTGGTGTATGTATGTAATGTTCTTAGAAGACTCCAGACAATAAAGATGTTCTAGATACGGATATTTCAGATAACTGGACGAAGTTACCTCAACATCGTATCAACACTTTGCATGTACCATAGGTAACATGCTTCTCATGCTATTTTTGAGGACCATACTCTACATAGTTGAATTCGATATATTAAAACGATTTTCAAGCCTTCACCACTTCACTACAGTCCACGTTTCCCCGTCCAACCATGCTCTGTCTGGCGCAAGCGCATCTTTACAACAGTCCTGCAGCATAGCTTCCATTGCAAAAGGCTCCGTCGTAAGGGTATCATGAAAAGAGCACACGTCCTCCTTCCTACATCTTTCCATAAGCTATCTAGTCTACAAGAACGACGGTTTTCCAGCACTAATTTGAACAGTCTAATCACACAGATATCGAAAGATGCTGCATCTGGCGACTTGACCAGTATCTCTTCATATGGAATAGTATAAATATTCGTCTCATTCTCCAGATGCTTGAGGTATGAGACGGTTGGAAGAACATATCGTGCTTGGAACGAGTTCATCTTTGAGTGTTACATGACTTTACTTATAGCTGCTGGAGTACGACCTGTGCAGGTCTCTTTTTGATAGTCGTAGTATCCCAAGTTGAACCACATTTTTATGTTTTCCAGTCTCATTGCCCCCCAGTGGCACAACGGTATGTCTGCGGACTCACAACGCTAGAAACCGGGTTTCGATACCCGTGGTGGGCAGAGCACAGATAGCCCTTGTGTAGCTTTATGCATAATTAAAAACAAACAAACAAACCAGTCCCATTAAGTATTTAGTATAATGGATATCGCCGTCTTGGAAATCTTAAGTTCCCAATCTGAACACATTCCTATGATCTGACTGTATGAATATTTTGGTTGTAAGCGGCTTTTTAAATACTCTTCCCAAAACCAATCAGTATTCAGTAGCATCATACTACTTACGTAACGCCAAAAAATTTTAAAATGCAGTTCTCATACATTCCGTTCAGCCACAACTTTATACCAGCTGTGATTGTCGAGTGACTTGTTGGCTTGCCACAACTTTATATCAGCTGTGGTTGTCGAGTGACTTGTTGGCTTGCCACAACTTTATACCAGCTGTGGTTGTCGTGTGACTTGTTGGCTTGCATATTTAAGATTGTTTGATATAATGCATTTAACTCTGTATATTGAAATAACTACAGTGAATTGCAAAGATGTAAAGCCACTTTTTATAAGATGTCTACTTACAAGATTTTATGCCCTTCACAGTGGTTTAGCTGTAGCTTTATGACTTAGAACATTAAAAATTCGTGACTTGATCACTAGGGTGTACAGCTTTGTCCATGAAGAAACAAACAGTCAAGATTTTTCCTTAGATATTTTTCAATTTAAACACAACATATCATCAAACCCAAGTATATTTCTAATAAAAAACATTACCAAATCTCAAGGTTACGCATGCAATATTCTAACGTTTATTGTAATTAATAAGTAGGAACAAACCTCAAAATCATAGTTTATTTATCTGACGTTTCCATTTCCTTATTTGGTGTCTTGCTAATGTATTGAAACGATCTCTGAACACTTGCCAAATTTAATGTTTTTTTGCCTTTTATCTGTCTAATTCTCTTCATCATACAATGTAGAGATTTTACTCTCCTTTCCTCATATCATTGCTATATTTATTTCTGGTTATTTTTAGTCTTCAGTCCTATTCTTATAATGTTGTTTTGTCTTGTCAGTTTGTCACAATTATCATACAAGTATTTTGTTATTGTTGCCTGTATTTTTTTCATTTTCGATTATAAAATTAGTGCACCTCTATATAGTCTTGACATAGGTACACATATTTTGGTAGTTAGCATTCTGGTACATTAAACGAATTTCTACTTCATGTATTTTACACTTAGGTTTCAAAATGACCCCCTTACAATATTCTTCAAGACATACATGTTGATAATTGCTTTATAGGTTGAAACTTCTGCATTACAAACTAAGGTATACACTTAACATGTATTAAAAAGAATAACGCCATACACAGAAGAACCGCACTTATGAGAAGATTAACACCACTACACTACTGTTCACAAAATGACAAAAAAGAAGAAGAAAAAGGCTACATCGTTCAGTTTGTCGTCTGCTTTTCTCAGCAACTACATTTTGTTCATGTTGAGCTGTTTGTTACCTTTATGTGTCTTTATGAGTCTAGCAACACTATCAGTAACTACAGTTTGTATAATTTGTTTTTCTTTTGTGTATCGTGGCACCTCGAAAGAGTCTAACAACACCACAATAACTACAGTTTGCTTAGATTGAGTTGTTTGTTTCTTTTATATGTTGTGACACCTCGAGATAGTCTATCAACACTATCAGTAACTACAACTCGTTTCAGTGTTGAGTTGTTTGTTCTCTTTGTGTGTCTGACACCTTGAGATATTCTAACAATTCTATCAGTATTATAGCTTGTTTCAGTGTTGAGTTGTTTGTTCTCTTTGTGTGTCTGACACCTAAGAGATATTCTAACAATACTATCAGTATTACAGTTTGTTTCAGGGTTTTGTTCTCTTTATGTATCTGACATCTTGGGATATTCTAACAACAATGTTTTCCAGGTGTAGACCCTCAAATGGCTCGTCTTGTTGCTCGATCTTTTGTTCGCGATCCAATGTTTATATGTCCGAATCAACTGGAAGAAGATGAGACAGGAAACTTCAATTTAATTGTAAGCTTTTCTTTTACTTATTTTAAGATAATTTTATTTTAAAGTACGAACACTTCTGTATAAGCAATACCTGGCTGGTAGTTTTGTTCTATAAACAATAAGAAACGATAACCTTAGGCAGCATAGTTTTACACGCATTCAGATATTTAAAGGTAGATAGATAGTTATGTCAACATCATACATTTGAATTCTTAAACAGCCAGCCATTCCTGTAATATATAAATAGGATAGGTTTGATAATTGGTTTCTTATTTTGTTTCTAAGGAAGTTTTTTTTAATGTGAATTAGTTACGCTATTACAATATTACTCAAAAAATATATACGAGTTTACTTAATTACATTTGAGGCGATAATCTAATGTTCTGCATGTCAAAAACTTGTCAGGAAGAATGTATGTAAATTATCACAAACTTCCTAACATATTTGTTAAACTACTGTTCTAAAAAAATTACTTATAAATTGTAAAACATAGTGAATGTTTGCAAAAATACAAAGATTAATTAATGTTAATATTTTCAGAAATATTCAGGAATCAAATGTATTACGAGAATAGAACGATAGTTTCATGTTTACATTTCTATAAAACTTGTTGATATTTATTTCTATTTTAGATAATGTTACTGAGTACGACGTTTCCAACAGTGCGTTTGAAAGTTCCAGATGTCAAAGGTAGCGCCTTCTGGCGAACAGAATTTAGACCCATGGAGGTATTTTTTAATGCTTATTAATGCAAAAAATCTTTCATGGTTAACTTTCTTTATAATATGTATATATATATATATATATATCACCAACAATACATTTTATCTCAGAAAAACATTGAAGTTGTATGTTTTACTATCTAACTTGGCTTAGTTTGTTACCATTTTGTATTCGAAAACACTCTGCAATGAAGGCTGAAAGGATATTCTAAAAATTATACATAAAATTCTTTTATAAACACCAGAATTCTAATCGAAATATTTCCACTTTTATATATTAAAACCTAAAGGGAGGCTCAATATATCTGAGAGAAAAGCATTTAATGTCTCTGTCTAAGAGAGAGGGTTTGTTGTCTCTTCAGGAGGCCCCCCCAGTGGCACAGCGGTATGTCTGCGGACTTACAACGCTAGAAACCGGGTTTCGATACCCGTGGTGGGCAGAGCACAGATAGCCCTTGTGTAGCTTTGTGCATAATTAAAAACAAACAAACTCTTCAGGAGAGAAGGATTCATCATTTGTCTGAAAAGAGAGTTAAATGTCCTGTCTAAGGAAAACGGTCGATGACTCTATCCATGGACAGGGCTCCATACATCGATCTGAGAAGATGATTCAATATCTGTCTGCGGAGAGGATTCAAAGAATTTGTCTAAGGGAAGGGTGCAATGTATCTTACTGAGAAGATAATTCATTGTATCTAGTTGAGGAGACTGTTCAAAGTTTTTGTCTAAAGAGAAGACTATTTCGGTGTCTAAAGGAAATAATTAAAATATTTGTCTAAATAGAAAACTAAAGGGAAGGTTTTCATATATATCTGAGGGTCTAAAGAAAATACTAGATGTCTCTGTCTAAAAAATATCTGTCCAAATGGAAGACTCAATATCTCTGTCTAAGGGAAGGATTCATTGCGTCTATTTGAGGAGACATTTCGATGTACACCAGCCTACCAAAAGTCATTGGACACACCTCTGATTGCAAGCAAATGGGTATGAGGACGAAATAGTGAAATACTTTGGCCTATACAGATGATCAGAGGTTCACTCGGAAGTTATTTCGAACATGTACACCGAACGATGAGTACAAATAAAGAGCTAACAGAGTTTCAGATGACATTGGGGAAAATGTCTGTACGTGCTATTGCGCAACAACTGAATATTCCCAGGTCGACAATTGCAAGTGCTGAAGAAATGGAAGTTCACAGGTGACAATGGACCCAAGAAACGACCAGGTAGGCGTTATATACTGACTGACAGGAGCCGACGCGCCTTGAGGAGGCTGGTTACCTCATCTAGCCCTCAGACCCTAGAGAATCTGTGTTTGGAGATGATAGCAGCAACAGGCAATCCTATAAGTGTTTCCACGACATATCGAGAACTGCATGAAATGAAGTTTCACGGAAGAGCTACAGCCCACAAGCCGTTGATAACAAAAATAAATGCACACCGAACCAGGACCAATGGATCAATGGAAATCGGTTCTGTGTCAAGCTACACGCTCTTCCACTCTGATGGAGGTGTTTGGGTATGGAGGATGCCTGTAGAACGCTTATTACCTGAGTTTGTTGTCCTAACAGTGAAGTTTGGTGGTGGTGGTATCATGGTCTGGGGGTGCTTCTTGTGTTATGGACTAGGCCCACTGGTCACAGTGCATGGATCCACGAATGCTGAGTCCTACATTGATGTTCTTAACAATTCTGTGTGTCCTAAATTGTGGCCATTTTATGATACCGGTCCTTACACCTTTCAACATGATAACGCTCCATGTCACAAAGCAATGATTGTGAACGCGTGGTTTGAAGAGAATAACATCGGAACATTGCAGTAGCCAGCACAGAGCCCCGACCTCAACCCGGTAGAACATCTTTGGGATGAACTGGTACACAAAATTAGGGCAAGGCCAAAACGGCCCTCTTTATTAGTAGAGCTTAGTAATGCTTCAAAGGAGGAGAGGAGCACAATACCACCAGCTTTCTACCAGAAATTAGTAAACATTAAGGCCAAAGGTGGGCCAACACGCTACTAATTTCTTTGAATAAAGACATGTTTTATTAAAAACTACATATTCTCATGACTTTTGGTAGGATAGTGTATTAATCTAACGAGGAGACTCGGTGTCTCTGTCTAAGGGAAGGATTCAAAGTATTTGCCTAAATGGAAGACTCAATGCTTCTGTCTATGGGAAAGGGTTAAAGTATTTGTCTAAATGGAAGCCTCAATGCTTCTATCTATGTGAAAGGTTTAAAGTATCTGTTCAAATTAAAGAACCAATGTCTCTGTCTATAGGAAAGGTTTAAAATTATTTGTCTAAATGGAAACTCAATGCTTCTATCTATGTGAAAGGCTTTAAAGTATCTGTTCAAATTAAAGACCCAATGCCTCTGTCTATGGGAAAGGTTTAAAATTATTTGTCTAAATGGAAACTCAATGCTTCTATCTATGTGAAAGGTTTAAAGTATCTGTTCAAATTAAAGACCCAATGCCTCTGTCTATGGGAAAGGTTTAAAGTATCTGTTCAAATTAAAGACCCAATGCCTCTGTCTATGGGAAAGGTTTAAAGTATCTGTTCAAATTAAAGACCCAGTGCCTCTGTCTATTGGAAAAGTTTAAAGTATTTGTTCAATTTAAAGACCCAATGCCTCTGTCTATGGGAAAGGTTTAAAGTATCTGTTCAAATTAAAGACCCAATGCCTCTATCTATGGGAAAGGTTTAAAGTATTTGTTCAAATTAAAGACCCAATGCCTCTATCTATGGGAAAGGTTTAAAGTATTTGTTCAAATTAAAGACCCAATGCCTCTATCTATCGGAAAGGTT